GCGACCAGCGGGCATGTTCCTGGGATCTCTAGGCCTCAGCTCCTGCTGGCAATCTTACTGATAGAAGTGTAAGGTTTAAAATAATCAACAGCTGGCACAGGGCACTGACCTATCAGAGGAGACACTCACTGTAAAAGCAGCTCGTGCACACTGGTGTTTGCCAGCTCATTTCAGTCAATCCAGGGCAGCGGCACTGCTTGGCGGCTCCTGGGCCTGCCTTTGTCTGGGTTTTCCAGGACCTGCCACCACAGGTTCCCTCTAATGTGTGTGTCTGCTGCTGCTGCTGTGACAGCCAAGAGGTGGTCTGTGCCAAGTGGCAACCTCTCTGCCCTTCCTGGTGACATGATCTTAAAGGGGAACAACAGCTCTTTAAGATCTGGGTGAGCCAGCACACCCTCCCTCCTGAGAGCACACCTGTGTTCTTCCCCCTCCCCCCTCTTCCCCCACAGGCATGCATCTTCTAAACACTAAGGAGGCTTGCAACCAGGGCAGCAGTGGGCAGCGGCAGTTCATCCCAGAAGCCATAGGCCAAGTGGACCCCATGCCCAATGGACTGGTGGACTACAGCTGGGAACACAAGCTAAGCTAGCCTGATGCTGGACTGGAGTGTGCAAACATGGAACGGAAACTGTGGGCAAGGGCTTTAACCCAGCTCTGCTAAGGACACAGCTGGACTTCTTTGCTGGCTGGATGGAGGGAGAGGGGACCTCAGAAACTCAGGTATTTAATTCCATGCTAATCAATGCCACTCATTCTCAAAAAAAAAGGGGGGGGAAAGATCTGGGTGAGCCTGAAACAGCTCTCACCATGTTTGTTTAGGGCTTCTCCCTTCCTAGATCTTGGAGAAGCCAGGTGCCCAGACCTTGCAGTCATCAAAAGCCTCAAGCTTAGAGCTTTGATGTGATTTCCAAGTGAGGTTAAATGTACAGTGACAGAAAGATAAGTGACTGAAGTGGAAGGGGAGATGGTTATCTGTAAATCTGGTGGTATTTCCATACAAAAGAGTCTGTAAGTCCTCATAAATTCACATGTCCATAAATCCTGTCACGTCCTTGGGAATGTCTAGCTACACACAACAATTTGTTGTTATTGTGATCAGACATTTATTTGTTAAATATAGGTTTTTAAAACACAATAATTTTTTTTTGGTAGATGCTCTTTATTGATTAAGAAACTTCTACTTTTTGCCTTTTTTTTCACTGAGAGATTTTTAAATTAAACTTAATTCGGTGACATTGGCTGGCATGGTCATATAGGTTTCAGGTGTGGGTTTCTATGTTATAAGATCTATATTTTGCACCATGAAAAACATCATAATTTTTGCCATGGGTTTTGCCACTTCACTTTTTAATTTATGGAAAGCCTGGAAAATTAGGAGTGGCCCCGACCTGGGTTCCCAAAGTGCCTGGTCTGTTGATAGTATTGCTTCTCTCACACCTAAAGCTTTGTTATTAGGTCAAGCTGGTTGGCCTGACTCTCTCTTTCCTGGGGATAAGTTTGTTCCCCAAAGTCTCCTCAGCCTTTCTTACCAGTAGGCTTTCCCTGCGGCTGCCCAAGGAAGCCTGAGAAAGCTGGGCCTGACTGAATTCAAGAGGCCAGTTAAGCTAAATCTGGGAGCCCAGTACTCAGTAGGGGCACAGTACATATGCCCCAACCAAAGAAATGGGGCCTGCCTAACCAGAGTAGTGATGGACCTGTGGTTTGCTCAGTGTGACCCCTAGCCAGGAGCCTGCCTGCTCAGGGCTACCAGGAAGGGGAGGGGGCAGTGAGGAAGCCAGGACACAGGGCCTTCCTTTCCCCACCTCCCTCTTTCCATGAGGCGGGCCATGGTTACCTATCTAATGTACTGGCCACTACTCAGCTTCCATTCGTAAAACGTTCACAGTTTTAAACAGATTTGAAAATGCCTTAGAGCAGTGGTTCTCAACCTTGGCTGCACGTTAGAATCACCTGGGAATCTTTTTAAAATCCTGATTTCTAGGGCCTCATCCTCCGGAAATTCTGTTTCTTTGTTATGAGCTGGGGCCACAACATTAGTAACAAAGAAACAGAATTTCCGGAGGATGAGGCCCAGAAATCAGGATTTTAAAAAGATTCCCAGGTGATTCTAATGTGCAGCCAAGGTTGAGAACCACTGCCTTAGAGTATTTATCTGATTGGCCTAGTGCTGTGGTCGGCAAACCTCGGCTCTCGAGCCACATGCGGCTCTTTGGCCCCTTGAGTGTGGCCACGAAGTTCAATCGCACTGTATGTGCGTTACCTGCACGTGGTATTTTGTGGAAGAGCCACACTCAGGGGGCCGCAGTTTGCCGACCACTGGCCATGTGTGCATTTATTAAATCTCAGCCTGTGGAATCTGGGATTTAGAAGGGTCTTAGCATGAAGTACAGCCCTTCCTGCTGGATCAGTGAGTCCAGTTCTAGGGATCTAGGCTCTGGTGTGTCAGCACTGGACCTGCAGTGCAGAGAACTGCACCCACGCAGTGAATATCGCTCTTGGCTTTGACCTTTAGGGTAGGTCCCAGAAGAAAAAGCAGTGCCGGGGGAGGGGCGGGAGAGGGGGATAAAGAGGGGCTTAAGGAAACCTTCACCCTCGCCTGGTGTTTAAATCATGAAATTAGAAGACCCAGCGTCTGAGGTGGAGGAACAGGCATTAGGCCTAGGCCAGAGGTGGCCGGAGTCAGCTTTGCACCAGCCACTGCATGTACTTGGGCCAACCACACATCTTCTGGCCTCATGTCCTGCTTGGGTGGGATGCTGCAGAAGGCCATGTCTCTGACTTCACCTATATCTGTTGTTGGCTCTAAGCACTAGGATTTCAGACTGAGCTCAACCCTGCCCTATAAAGTCAATTATAACGTGTCTACGAACACTGAAAAATTGACTAAACATGTAGCCACTTTGTGTCATAGATTTTTGAAAATGAATTTTAGTTCATTAGCTTTTAGTCATTGAAATAAAGCATTCTTTCCAGCTTAAGAGGGGCTGGTCAAGGAAGAACTGCCAACACTTTCCATTGTGTGTCATAGCATTAAGGGGTGCAGTCACAGAGCTTAGGACTTCTGTTTTGTTTCACTTTTCAGTATCTTGTCCTGGACTGTATAACTCAGAGAAAAACTGACTACCTTCAAATGCAGGAATAATATGATAATCAGTAAGCATATTTTAAATACTCTGAATGAAACCGTGGAAGTTTAAAAATATAAAGAAGTTGAAAGGAATATTTGCCAAATATTATTTCATTAAGCCTCAACATCTTCATCAAACAAACTAAAATATAATCCCAATAGCTAAGGTTAAGTAACTTGTCAAAACCACAGAGCGAGTCTGTACTACACATTCATTATATCCATATGTGTGTATAATTGCCTTTGGGTACCAGGAGATGTTTACAACTTAGAAAGAAATTACAAAAGTAATAAGAAGAGGTTTGGATTTATCTAAATATAAACCATATACAGCACAAATCAAAGCTGTATTAATTTCAACTTTTAGGGAAACATTTAGGCTTCCTCTTCTACATAATAAAAGATAATTTATAGTATCTATTCATTTTTCATTTCTTTTCAAAAATAAACAGTTGCACTTTAAATTACATTTTGTGCATGTATTCAACCTTTGCAAATATATCTACATCTTACCTTATTTAACCTATTCAGAGGCCACTGTGCTTTCAAAGCCATATCAAAATTAAATAGTCAAATTAAATTGTTACAGTGGAGGTCTCTCCAGGCAAAAGTTTCTTTTCATCTTCTGTGTGGCATCATTATCACCTTTTTGTTGATGTCCCAGCCTCAACTTGCCCTTCAGCTCAATCTTGCAGAAGTTCAGAGAGAACTTTGTAACTCTTTCTCTTTACCCCCAAATACAAGTTTCCCTTGCCTGCCCTTAGACTCCAGCCAGAGAACACACTTAAGAGAAAGCCTTGCTTAAGAGAGGACTGGGCCATTGAAAGATGACCTCAAATATTATTCATATTTTACTAGAAGTGGGAAATCAAGAGAAGGCTGAGCAGGGAGCAGGACAAGGAAGAAGGACCGCTTCTCAGACCCCAGGAGGTGCCACTCTGTGCCTCCGTGAGAGAGGTCTTGGATTGAGCTCCAAGAGCAGACAAACCCACAATGCAAAAGTTAGTATGTAGAGCCATTCCAAGGTGAATGCTTTTTGTATCACTTGGTGTTTTGGATTATTCATGAAATCTCAATATATGGCCTGGGGGTGTATTGTATGGTTAGGGGGAGCAGAGCTGAGGAAAGCAATAGGAAGGGGAGAATTATTTGTGTTTGGCTTCATTTCAAATACATTTGTCTATTCTTTTGAGAACAAACTGAATGAATAGGAAGAGGCAGCTACAAGTATGCAATGTGTGTGTGGGAGTTGTACATGTGGAAGTGAAGAAAAGTGTTATCTTTGGCGTAGGAAAGATAACTGAAATGAATTAAAACTTCTGCCAATTTCACCTCCAGAAGAAAACATATTAAACCTCAGTTCAAAAGGCTGGGTTTAAAGAAAGCAGGAGCAAGGCGGCAGCGGTGTTAGGCTCCGAATAGAATAAAGCTCTAATTCATTACAAACAGATGCTGGGACTTTAAAAACAAAGTTGTGTTCATCGATTATGTAACTAATAACTTCATGGAGCCTACTTAAAGTGCTGATTTAAAAATGTCCACTTGTTACAGATGGCCATTTGTGACAACAAATGAGAAAACGTGTGTATGCCCGTGTGTGGGTGCATGTGTGTTGACATGTGACTACCTGGTCAACCGTCCCAAAATGAAAAAACATTTACGCCTTACGTTGTCCGCACCATCGGTGGGACCCAGCTCAGCAAATCGCGGAACGTCAATTGTCACATTATCCCTCCTTGTCACTCCTTCCACCAGATTCTGTCCCCTTCTCTCCGCGCACCCAGCACGCTCACATGTACACACACACACACACACACACACACACACACACACACACGGGAGATGCGAGTTCAGCCCATCTGCCTCACTTTACCTCTGGCCCCGGGAGGATGCTGGCCGCCGCTGGCTCGGTCGCAGCCATCCGTCTCGGCCGGGCTCTCCTTCGGGTGCAGCAGACTGGGGCCCTCGGTGTTTTCAACAGGTCCCATGGCAGAAGCTACAGCCCTTCCCTCCGCACCGCACCGCCGCGGCTGCCCCCCGCGACAGCAGTGGTCACTCGCCCCATGGTCGCATGCTCAAGAAGGTGAAAAAAAACTTCGGGCAAAGCCAATGTGATTTGTGACCAACTTTGTTTCTATTTCCGAAGGCTTTGCCCTTTTCGGTGACACAGGCTGTTGCTATTCCAAGCAGCCTATCACAGGCAGTGGGCGGGCCACGTCTCCCCGCCCTGTTTTCGCCTTCAGAGGCAGAGCGGGGCGCCAGGGGTTAAAAGGCTGGGGGAGAAAGGGAGGTCGGGCACCGCGTTTGGCCCTGAGCGAGGGGCAGCGCTTGCTGCCTGCACCTTTGCAAAGAGGCGCAGATTCAAACGCGGGCTGAGAGCGAGGGCCCAGAACGCTCACAGATGGTATCAGTTAGTCTCGCAGAGAGAGGAACGCTGTATGCCAACACACACCAGAAGGGAAAGTGTATCAATTTTTCAGCAAGAATGCTGTTATTCCAAGAGTCATGACACTTACCAGTGTACGCAAAGCATGAAACATCTTAATGGTTTCAACCTGATTTGGTGAATGCCTTATGGACTCTCCCTCTCCAGAGCCTGTCAGACAAATCAAGGCCCGAGACCAGGCATACACGCACTCAGAATGCATAGATTATTTGGACTTCTTATCCCTGGGATGAGAGCAAAGTCATCCAGTTTACCTCATGCACAGTTGTCTTTAGGAGAAGAACCAACCCTAAGTCTCTGCCAGGTTGTGTGATAGACTGGCTGCAGGAGGAGGGTGTTTCCCACGCAGAGAGGCCAGACTGAGTGCCCCACGTGTGGGTGTGATGGTCATATAATCTGAAACAAGATCAGGCCTTGGGAAAGAGGACATTCTCCTGGTTTGTGAGTATATTTATAGAAAATGTCTTACAGAGTTTTAGGATAGTTTGCCTTCAGCTACGTAGTCACGAATCATATTTATTGAAAAATCTTGAACAGAAATCAGAATTGTTTTAGAAAACCATTAGGAGTGAAAACTAAAATTTATGGAGCACCTATTAGGTGCCAGAAATTGTGATCAGGTTCTGAACCCATATGATTCTTTTGAGAAAAATGTGTGAGGCAGACACCTGAAGCCTCCCAACTAGTCAGTGGCAGAGCTGAGACCATGAAGCCAGGTGGCCTAATGCTCTAACTTTTCTATATCCTACATTCCCAGCCTTGTCCGTCTCTGATTTTCTTGGATTCCTTCACTTTCAGCCCATCTTGACCTTAAGAAGATGCCATGAAATATGGTTTGCAGACTAGGCATTCCTCTGGACAAATTTATGCTGGTAGAGGCAGAAGCTAACCCACACAGGACTCACTTTCAGTATTTTGGCTGGATCATGACATAGCTCTAAATGAATATATCACCTGTACATTTCCTTTGCTAATCACTAGATATTTTCATATCTTTCTTATCCTTCAGGGAATCAGGTAATAAATAGAAACAAACTTGTAATAACTCAACTAGTATCTATTATGTACCTACTGTTGTCTGCTAATAGTGCTGAAAAATGGAAGTCTCCAAACATAGCTCAGTCCCCTCCTGATGAAGAAGTGAGTAGTTCAGAATCCCACAGATCAGCTTGTCCCCACCAAAAAAAAATGTGTAATGCAATGATGCCTTAGATTTTATTTGTGCCCAGAATGTGTGGTGATTGTAGGAGCAGCAGTTTTTATCTGTGAGACACATATTTCTCACCAGCTCTCCATATTTTCTTGGCTTTTATCTTCCTTCTGTTCAGAACTAATGACCTCAGCTGGGGGACATGTTCTTACAATGAATCAGTGGTATAATTGTTTTTTTTAAAATTCCAGCTCTGTGTCTCCAGCAGCTTTTTGGCACCATGGAAGTGTTGGGGTGTTTGCTGTAGTCTTTGGCTAGGCAAAAGATAAACCTAGTTCCAGAATCCTTACACTGGCTGAAAGCAATTCAACAGTTCTCACTTTGCTATCTGTAGCCCAACTGTACAGGAACTCCTAAGGCATAAGCCAACAAGAAATCAAAAGGACTAAGCAAACAAAGCGACTGGCCACAATGCCTCCTGGTGCACCAATTCTGTTGACATTCCTTTGTTAGCCTGACTTGGACCACTGGCTATCCCAATCTCTGTTCTGTGCTGACTTTACTCTCCTAACTCAGAGAAAAGTTTAGAGAGAAAATTATTTTTACCCAGCCTAGAGCGGAATAGTCTCCTGCCTAAATCTGTTTAAGAACCGTGTATTGCCCCAACCCAGTCTTTTGCTCACTTACAATGTATTTATTATAGTTACATGCAATGATTTTATTAAATCTACCTGACTTGCTAGTTAGTAAGATTCACAAGTGCATGGGCTATGTGTATTTGATGTATTATGATATTCCAAGTGCCTTGCACAGAGTAAATACTCAGTAAGTATTTGTTGGCTAAAAAACTAACCCCTATGAATCCAACTAACTTTATCATTACCAGGATGTAAACGCCAAGACAACAGGCACACGTCTGTCTTGTGCACTCACCCATCTTGGTATCTCCACCTCTGAGAACAATACCAGGCATGTAGTAGAAACCTCAATATATATCTCAGTAAACGAGCACTCACAATGTGAATCAAATAACTATTTATTTTTTTAATATCAAAACCTATATGAGGATTACTTATAATGCTTGGGCCTTTCTCTCTTTCCTCCCTGTCAATCTCTTTAAAGTAAGTGTCACCACAGGCTGTCCCTCCTCCATGGAGTTTGAGCCACTACCATCATTGAAAGCTATTCCTCCACTCAAGTGATGTATAATCAGCAGATAGTTCATCCCCTGTGGCCTCATTAATTTCGATACATACCATTTTAGACCACTGGCTCACAGGCAATGCTATCAAATCCAAAAATACATATCATTACATAAATTGACAAGACAGGTAAGAGGGGATGAAAGAGAAGGCAAGCAACTTCACATAGCGTGTGAACATCTATATACCAAGCCCATTTTGGTGGCAATTTTTCTTAAAATTCACAATTTTGTGAAGTGAATACTATTGTTGCTGGAGAAATCAGTGGGTCCAATTTCCCTGACACTAGTGAGAAGAGGGTTCTTGTGCTATCTTAAGAAATTTTCTAAGACTCGCACGGGAGAGTGAATGGTTTTTATTGGCGTGGAATTATATTTTTCGGTTTGCTAAGTCCCATGTCTCTTAAACCAGTCCTGGGAAATGTGCAGCTGGGGCCCCAGCAGAGCCCAAAGTAGGACCAGTGTCCAGAGTTTCCCTTCCATGGGAGAGCCTGGTCTGACGTAACATCAGACTAGATTCAGTTCATTCATCCTTTGTGTGGGTCGCACATGGCTGTGAGCCACATGCACAAATCCTGGGGATTGGGCCCTTTGTACAGGAGTTAAGTATCTCAGATTCTGCACCCTTGCAGTGGCCACACCTAATTCTGGCCACTGGCTTGCTCCCAGATGTGACTGACAGATAAATATCTTCCCATGTCACCCAGACCTCACTGGGTATGCGTCTATTGTCCAGTCCCTTCCCTCAGTGATCTATGGGGAACAGCCTTGGAGAATGTTAACTGCAGCTTCCTGACAGAGCTGTATAAATGGCATGTCTGTATTATCTAGTCTTCCCTTTACTCCTTTCCTGTTATTTAAAAACCAGGTTATTATAATGGTATCACTATTGCCTCCATTTTGCAGAAACTGAAACTTCAAAATTTATGGGACATACCTCAGATCAAAAACCACTTTCCAATATTTTAAGCATGACAATTGTCAATCATAAGGGAAAACCTAGATTCTATAATCAACATTTTACTATGCATACTCTTTACCCAGCTACTTATATATAAATCCCTCTATCCATCCATTGATCCATCTTACTTTTCATGCATGTCAAAGTAAGTTGAAATACTTTGGTGTGTGTATCATCAACTGGAATTCAATATATGTTCAGGTTCTTCTTTTTCCTTTGAGACATGAACTGCACAAATCCTAAGGGTGTCATTATATGAGCTCAGAAAAGCACATGCATATGGACAATCCACATCTCATTATTCCAGAGTGTGCCTTTAAGTCTCTTCTGAGTAACTTTCCACCTCAACCTCTAGAAGCACCAATGTTCTGATGAGTTTCCACATGGCTTACCTCTGCCAGTTCTAGCTCTTTGCAGAATGAAATCAGAGTGTGTACTCTTGTGTAAGGCTTCTTTCACTGGGCGTAATTTTGAGATTCATCCATGGTTCTGTGTGTACTAGTAGTTCATTCTGCTTTTATCTAAATAGTATTCCAGGAGTGAATCTATCACAGTTTATTTATCCATGTTCCTGCTGATGGTCACCTGGGCTGTTTTGTTTGGGCTAATAAAAATAAAGCTGATGTAAGCATTCTTGTGCAAGTCTTTTTGCAGAACGTAACATTTCAAAGCACAGCAGCCTAGGTCCATTTGATTCCAAAATCCACATGTTTTTCACTACACCCCATTGCTTCTCCATGGTGCATCCCATTGCACTGTTATGTAAAATGTACCCCCGGAGTTTTTATTCTAAAAATGGTTCATTACAGTGTAAACACAACTGAGGAAATATGACATTTAGACAAAAGATATCCACATATAAATTCAGCTCTTTATTAGCCATATTCCAATAAAATACTCCACCTGGTATGATTTTTAGAAGAATATTTATTATTTTATCTTATTACGCTATCTAAATAACTCTTCTCTAAAAGTTTTCTTTATCTCTAAATATAACCTTTTCTCTCATGTGTAGAATAATACCAATCATAAGATTGATTAAAGCTCCTCAGATTACAGAAGTATGCTTAAATTCATTGATATGTTCACTAGATATTAAATTATTTGATAAATCATTTATAGCAATAATTTCTATGCTTTTAGATGGGAAAATCAGAGTATCAAATTGCATGCTGACTACCATTACCATAATTTTTAAGATCTATGTGCCTATTGGTAGAGACTTACAAGGGAACTCGGAAATTTTGAAAATAAACAATATATTGGAAGAGCAATCTTAGATCATCTTAAGGAATTTATCAATCTTAGTTGTGTGTAAAAAGTATTTTCTTTAAAAAGTTGTTTCCTTGATGTTGTTATAAAGTTCTATATCTAAATATAATTCTGAGAAAAGTTCTT